CATGTCGAATTACCTACAGAAAAAGTTTTCCGACTTGTCAAGTAGGTTTTGGCTGAGGTATGAAAATTTTTCTAACGATTCTATGAGAAGTTCAAATAGTTGCGTATTTTGGTTCATAGAAACCTCCTACCCCAATTTATTTAGTCCATGATGTTAATAAAATGACAGGGTAATGACTAAAGTTCAACAAGGAACTTGTCTATATCATCCCCAGCCAAAACCTACTTGACAAGTCGGAAAACTTTTTCTGTAGGTAATTCGACATGCCCAACTATCTGCACAGATCAGAATCTCTTCATCATGGATTTTAAGACAGGTCTCCAGATGCCGGGTTTCCATAGATCCATAACAGAAACCCATATCAGCACAAATGGATCGGATTCGGAATCAGCATCAAATTACACATAACCAAGCAGGTTTGAAAGTAAAAGCGATGAATCACTTGGAGACCTTCCCTCGTGAGCCAGAGTCAGTGCTCTTCTAGCAAAGAACATTGTTGTTTCTTTATAGATCGCCATATAATGCTGGTATATTTGCTCCACTTGCTCTTTTTGTCTAAAGTTCTCTTCGAGCAAGCAAGAGTGCTGAAAAATACTCTTGGAGGAGACCCCTCTGAAATATCATTTTCAGAGAAAAATTCTTCCAATATACTGGCCCATAAAGAACATGAAAAGTATTTGAACAGAACAATCGAGCTATCAATGTTTTGTTGTGTTACAGATTGGTATGTAACTAGGGCTATTAAAAAAATTATGGAAATTTCTCCAAGTTTCTATACTTGAATGTGCACTTAAGTTGGACAAATCTTTGAGAGGAGTCCAGATCATGATCTGAGATCTGATGGTACCATGTTATTTGATGGCTTGTTGGTCTCGGATGATCTTTTTCAAAGAACATCCATGACATTCTTTTTTTAAAGACAGGACAAAGCATCAAACACAAAAGCCCTCTGCAATAAAGTCCCTACATTTAAAAAAGTAGTCATTTGTTTTTCTCTAGTAGCATAAAAAGGTCTTCTTAATGGGTTGTATAAGCTTGAGATAGATAGAGTATATACTTGTGGCAATTTTTCAATAAACTTATGTGCATTTGATTGTTTAGCTGCATCAATAATTTCTTGACGATCAATTGTCCGTGTTAAATCACCATAAGCAATATTTTCTTCAATTGTCCCATCAAATAAAACTGGTTGTTGGCTTATATAACAAATCTTTGAACGTAACCATTGTAGATTTATGTTTCGAATATCCACTGAATCAATAAACTTTAAGCAAAAAAAATCTTGTACTGTTTTTCATTCATAGTTTGTAATTGTGCGAGTAGTAAATACATACCACACTACCGGCATTACTATCATAAAATCTTTCTAATAATTGGATAACGGTCGATTTTCCACAACCGTTTTTACCAAGTAAAGCAACCTTTTGTCCTAAACAAATTATTTGTTAGAAACATAACAGATACTTTCGTTCTTAGAACGAACCAGGTGAAATTTTTAATTGAAAATTATCCAAAATTTTCATTTGTGGACGACTAGGATACGAAAAGTTTTTGATATCGAATACAATTTCACCATTAAAATTATCCTTTTAATTTTAATATATGAATAGGAGACTCACATATTATCTGTCTTCTTCTAGAAAACTTACAATAATATCTCCATTTATTGAACTTTGGTCAATTACTGGTTGACGATTGAATAATTTTAGCATTTGCTTTGATGCATTCATCGCTTTACCATAATCAGGTGACCTAATAAACAAAAACTCTCAAGACATCTGAATGATCATTGATGAAAATCCGCCTACGCTGATATTGTTTGTCCAACTGCTTGGGCACCAATAATAATACAGTTGAGTACACTAAAAGAAACTAGAAGAAGATGAACGACAATCGGCCTCGTGAAAGGGATAACATTCTCTTACACCAATGAATCTTCAAATGTCATACGATTTCTCTTAATCATGAAGGCCGAAAATGCAACTAATACAGCTTGCGCAAAAAATATAATGGCATTTGTGAAACCAAATTGTAATCCTTTTAAATGTGAACGGTTTCTTGCAGATCTAATCAGTAAAAATAAACAAAGTGAACGTTTAGAATTACCGACTTTGAGTAATACACAAAAAAAGAACAATCGAATTGACTGTGGGATAGATTTTCTTCTAGTTAACAATTTTTAAATAAAGATGCACCTAAGAGTCGGATTATCTTTGAGATCTAGATGGTTCAGTCTGCGATACATCCGGATGTATCATTCTTTCTCGTATCACCTTGAGCTACCGTTTTTCTCTTTTCTTTAAACTAATTAATTAAGTACGCTAATATGACACCACGACTAATTAAACACGATCTTCTAGGTTCTTCATAGAGTCGTTTCTCTCTTCATGGAAGACAACGGTCTCTAGAATCCTCTGTTTTTTCTTTGTTCGACTAAACGAAGTGCAATAAAAACAGAAAACCTATGCATCCGCGTTCCTCTTTTTCCAACCCATTCGGCTGTATCTGTTCTTGTCGACGCATTCGGATAGATCTATTTTAGCCGACTTATTGGGATTCATGTACCATCTGTAAGTCAAAGATGGGAGACCGCGATGTGTCTTTTTTCCAGGCTCATCGTGAGTCCGAAAAAATGCTCTTTCCAATATTCATTTACTGTAAAATGTAAAATGGCAAAGCTACATCAGGCAGCGACGAATATATCTGAACAGACGATATAACGGTCTGTAAAACGGGTGGATCAGGATACATCCTACACCGTTCCCGCAACGAAGATGCACCCAAAAAAGCTTGTCAGCGTCACTCCTAGGAAGTAAAAATGTGGAAACTTCCGATTGAACTGTTGGACTATAACATAGAGCATGAGATAATATATCACCTAATTTTTAAAACTTCGGTTTAATAACATCAGATCAATAATACACTGCCTGTTACTAGTCCATTCAGTAACTATAAACACCAAATTTAAATTTAAATTTGATCAATCACAATTTCATCCCGAAAGTTTACAGCTTCTGACAAAAAACCCTCTGCACATCATAAAAATCCTCGTATGTAAACTTTATACTTCAAACTTCCTTTTCCTTCGAAAAACGGATAAGTGCCAGGAAGTTTTCACAAAACCGACGGATCCCAAACGTATCCTTTTTGGAAAAACAAATTAAGATATGGATGAAGCTGAACATAAAGGGATGTCGAGGTGTATTTCTAAAAGTAATTAGATAAAAGATGGATTCGAATGCATCGCAATGTATTCCTCAGAAATTTCGAGAAAAGTTGTCATTCGATTCTACCACGAAAAAGATTTGTTATGTCTGGATGCATTCGAATGTATAAATTAAAAAAATGATTTTTGACTGAATATAAAACATACTTATACAGACTATCCAATAGAGAACAATAATTTTGATAGAAATGTTCTTCACTTGTTAATTGTTTTACTGTACGAATATTTTCAGTAACTTCCGTTCGAATCTATTACAAACAACAACATCTTACATACGTTGTAGACAATGTTTTTTATACTACTTTTGATATTTCTTCTAAAACTTTGTTATCTTTTTTCAAACAATCATCATTAAATAATTTAATATCCAAGCAGCCAGCACCAATAATAAATGGCAAAAAACCGAATAAAACAAGAGTTACTTCCCAGCTATATAAAAGTGATATCAAAATACCGACACCTAAATTTGCAAAACATTCTATAATTGTACCAAGATAAATGCCCGTTGTCTAGAAAATAAGTACACATAATTATTCTTTCACTCCGAAGAAGAAAGGTAAATATACATGCCGCTTGAATAACAGTTGTCTCATTAGCTAAACGTGTACATAACGCACCAACATTATTCGTCGGATGATCAAACCATGCCAAATCTTGTTTCAAATAGATTTCAAATAATTTTGAACGTAAACGTTCTGTTAAATTTTCACCGGAACAAGCAAATAAAAAATTCTAAAATAACAAATTAGTGACTGATACAGAAACTGGAAACGTGTGGAGTTCTTGCTTCGTCCAAAAAAGTTCCGGATCGTAGGAAAGCTTTCTCTTTCCGTTTGGGCAAAAATGGTCAAGTTTAAGACCCAAGTCAGCTATCTTATCACCGTAGCGGCACGAGTGAATCATAGTCGCTTTGCGCCACGAATGATCGAGGAACGTTGACTTCGAAAATGGTTTAGGTCGGCTTCGAGCAGGGATACCAACTATAGAGAACAGTAAAGGTGGACAAATTAAGAGAAAAGCGGGACATAAGGGGAACTTCTTTAGTCCTCCTAAGTAGAGGGACAAGACACATTATTTTTCGCACAATATCATCGAAAGGTTACAGGAACATCAGTATATTCTTTTTTTTATCGAATATTTCTATTGTTCATTGAGCTTTCCACATAACTACGTCACACCATAAAACTGAATACAGCTATCTTCACATAAGAAAAGTTACTAAACGCTAAAGGTCTGTTGAACTGGAAGTGTAATACAAAAGCGAGAAGTCCGTTGAAGACGGTCAAAAGAAAACGTCCTTGAAAAGAAAGACATCCTGGTCAGCTCAAAAATCAGAATATTTTACTGTGGAAATCAAATGGATAAACTGATTTTAGAATATTTACTGAAATGTTACTTCTACTTTTTACCCAACGGCTAGAGCAACAGATAAGAGACTTTACATTGCTATGACTGCTTTTTCTCTTCATTATCTCTAGTGGAAAGCAAACATAAATGTTCTGTTTTCTATGTTGATCAGTGTGAGTTTCACTAAATAAGCAAATCTAGTGCCCATCAAATCATTCATTCAATGCGATTATTAGAGAGCTAAACGATGGATTGCTCTAATTATATATTTTGTTTGTAATAGAGTGATGAAGAGTCGTTCATGCTTGTCAAATGCTTCATTCTATAGAGAAATATTTCTTCTATTTATTTGTTGGTACAAAAGAAGTGTAAAGTTAATTTTGACAAGATATAAGAATAAATGCCATAGCTGTGCATGATAACTGGCGAGCAGTTATATAAGTCTTCGTGCCTGTTCACTAGTTCATTAAAAAGTTTTTCGCTTTTATCCTATAGTTTTCTGCTCCGTAGAAATACATAGGACAAATCATTCTATAAAATGCGACGTCGCACAAGTCTGTACAAGTAAGACTTAACGGCATCATAACAATTTTTCTGGAAAAAAAGCGGTGCATGTGCTGTACTTTTTTTGTAAGCCCTTTTCCAATCGAAAAGTGGCTTTTGTTTTACATTGTTCATCGAAATATAATCGACAAATTTCGATTATGGCCTATCGATAGTGGTCATCTCATTTTTGACTAGTCAAAAAGGAAAAGCTCGAGTTCGAAACTCGGCTATCTATGGCCTCCCGAGGTGATAAATCGCTTTTTGATCAACATCTAGTGGGTTATAGATTATCGACCACGCTAATTCCGAATATGATCATGAGGCTTCTCCATAGCCCTTCGAAGATCCAGTCTTCTGGAAAACCAGTTTTTCAGAAACCCCAAAAAATAACCCAACTTTTTTTAACAATTCAGGATTATAGCTCGCAAATTTTGGATTAAAAGGATACATCCTCCAGCTCTACACGACCTTTCTTTGCAAAGTTATAGAATTTATAAGAAAAGCACTAAATTGTTCATTGTCAGCTCAAAGCTACAGAAATAATTAATTTAGGGCTCTTCTTATAAATTCTATAACTTTGCAAAGAAAGGTCGTGTAGAGTTGGGGATGTTTCATTTTAATCCAAAATTTGCGAGCTACGATCCTGCATTGCTAAGAAAGGTTGAGTTATGTTTTGGAGTTTCTGAAAAACTGGTTTTTCCAGAAGACTGGATCTTCGAAGGGCTATGGAGAAGCCTCATGGTCATATTCAGAATCAGCATGGTCGATAACCTATAACCCACTAGATCACGACCAAAAAGCGATTTATTACCTCGGGACATTCCCTCGTGAGTGGTGGTGATTTTAGCACTGGGATCGATATTTCTTTTGATGAAGTAATTTTGAAAAGGGATGGAAACATAGGTAATCGACCGCGCTGAATCTCGCGGCAGCATTCGTTTTCCAAATAAGATTCAATATCTGGCGAAAAATCTATACTAGACGAAATAACTAATTTCTGTCTATCTTCAATAAAAATGCACCGCTGGATGCCTGTTTGTGACCAACTGAGAGAATAATAGTGTGATATATGCATCCAACTATAAGAGTTACACCTGAAGTATTTCCTAAGATTTTTAATAGCGGTTTGTCTTGGAGAGTTTATTCTTTATTTTAAAAGAGGAAAAGAAACCATATGGTTTCCGGCGCCGATTTTTTTATTAGGTCTTAGTTTATGTCAAACTGAGGATTTTTAGAAAATCCGGAAGGAGTTTTCGGGTTTTGGAGGCTGTTGGTGGCCTGGAAAACCAATAAAGGCTTAACTGAAAAATCGGCGCCGGTCAGACCATGTAGCTGGGTGTCTAGCTGAAGTATATTAAAAAATCTTGAAAGTACTTCATGGTCCTTTTTGATCCTTGATCTCTGGAAAACTCCCGAACGGTACGACTTGGAGACAAAAAAATTTTTTCATTCCCATAATTCATTAAGCAGAACATTTATGGAGAGTTTTGTCAGGATCAGATGTACGGTGTCAGAGTTTCTGACGGGGGGCCCTTAAAGCTGCCAGCTAATAACAAAAACATGTTTTCAATTTCCTTAGTGGGATTCGAAGTCCAAGCTCTCTGCTACAAATCCACGAAAGGCAGAGATCTCCTCTATTGGCCTTGGATTTTATGATATTTGACTCTGAGAATTTGAAAAACATATGGCAACGTAGGTTATCGACTATGTTGAATTGCATGGCAATGTTTGTTTTTTGGATCTAAGCCGACTGGTGGAATAAAACATCTGTCTAGCAAGATGTTCTGACCACTCGATAAACTGCCAGAGTACTCAAAATTTTTTTTTCGGATGGTAGCCCGTTTCGACTATCTCCAATAGGTGCAAAAATTTTCGACTAGTCGAACTACTCATCGGATCACTTTTTGCGTATGCTTGGGAATATTCGTTAAAAGTATCAACTACTAAAAATATTAAACCATTTTCATATAGAGGTCCGAAGTGAAGTGTAGATCGGCTATAGTTACATCCTACACTACACTACTATATTACCTGTAAGAAAAGTGTTATCCATAAGAGAACAGCAAAACCCAAAAATATATAAATATAAATCATTATATAGTGTTTTTGTTTGTTTAAGTCACACTCTTGAAATATCTATAATAAATTTCAATTGAACTTAGTTGAGTATTTGAAGTAGAAGAGAGATTCATATGTTTATCTTACAAAAATTAATTTACTAATAATTACACCATGTGTGGGTTGTAAACCACCATTAATCAGACACACAAAACAACCAAATAAAATATATAGCCATTCTGGTTTATTCATTTTTAATACAGCCAGAAATGGCAAATGCGTTTCCTTAAACAGATGTTTTAGCATGGATTATACAGAATAAAACAGTGTGTAGTTAGTCATTTTCTTACTTTGTAGTTCTGACGGGGTTTATTATTATTATTCAGAATTTCAAATAACGGCGAAAATACTGAATTTAAATTTTGACTATTACCTTACAAAATAAAAACATTAACATTGTTGTAATGCTTAAATAATTTCAAGAAAAACAAGATCTCCTACGTTGATTTATTGAACTGGACTCAACATCATTATTATTGCTGGGTAAACAATCAAAATCTTGTTGCTGTTGTTGTATCAAATCATAATAAATTCCATGTGTATCCATCAATGATTGATGATTACCTTGTTCAATTAAAGTCCCGTGATCAAGTACGATGATATTGTTTGCATTACGGATAGATGATAAACGATGACTAATTATAATTGTTGTACGATCTAAGCATAAAAATCGAAACTACGCTTCTTGGTATTTTAATACTGAACTTTATTCGTACAATAAAATGTACTAAAAAGACACCAAAGTAGTTGAAATGATCTGAAAAAGGATGTTACCTTGGCAGAAAGAGAAGAACAAACAAATCGAAAAAGGAAAATACAGATTTATAGCGAAAGAAAAAATGACGCAATGTATTTTCATTTTAACTTAGTTCTTTTGAAGAAACTGTCTAAAATTGTGCGAAAAATGGGAGAGAGTGTTACAACATGCCACAGAATGGAGGGATCAAGTCCATGATTTTAGCGTGAAAAAAACTAGCGAATGGGGCTGTACAGCTGCATGGTGCTACTAACATTTATACGCGAGAAAATTGACAGAATCGTCTAAGGTTGTTTGTTTCAATTAAGAACGAAATGTTGTGGAGAGCTCGGGCTGATCTTATTGACAAAAACACAGACTCTAGACGTAGCACTTCTATCGGTAAAAAATTTTTTATCAGAAAAATTCATAAAATATCCTAGAACGATGGTGTGTAAATAGTTCTCAACAAAAATGAGACTTATTTTGACTCTACAGAGTGTTTGCTCATTGAAATATGGCGCTGGAAAAAAGTAGGACGAATCTGCTACTTTTTGTCGGGCAAAGCGGTTTTAAAAAAACGAGTTTAAAGTAGAATAAGCGTAACTTGGTGAGAAACTAAATACAATGTCGGAAAACATCTCATTGTGCAGAATTCTTTGCTCTATCATTTTAGACTATTTTCAAAATATTTCTCTGGAAACAATTTTCTAAAGAATTTTCTAAAAAATAGTTCAGGACAAAACAACTCATAAAATAAAAGATCTTGCGAAAAGTTTCGACTTTTCAACAGATCTATCTATGATAAAAATTTCAACTCAATTCTACTTAGAAGTGGATGACCACTTCAGACGAGCTAAATATATAATTTCGTTGAAAACATAAGAGTGAGCGTTTATCTTCCAACCTTTAGTAACCGCTTTTTGAGCTAGTAATTCTTGAAGTAATGATTCATTTTCATTATCTAAATAACAATCACAAAAACAAGTGGTGACAGGTATGTAAAATACGAATGAAAATAATCCTACCTAAAGCACTTGTAAATTCATCTAACAATAAAATTTTAGGTCGTTTAAGTAATGCTCTAGCTAAACAAATTAATTGCTTTTGTCCACCTGATAAAAAATTTTGATCAATGACTGTATCATAACCAAAAGGTAATTTCATAATAAAATGATGTATATTAACATCTTTACATATTTCCTCAATTTCATTTTGCGTAACATTTTTCGGATCAGTAGTGCCATATAATAAATTTTTTTTAATTGTGGTAGAAAATAAAACTGCTTCTTGACTAACAATAGCCAGTTGTTGACGATACCATTGTAAATTATATTTATCAATTGATAAATTATCGATAAAAATATGACCGGTAGTAGGACGGTAAAATTGTTGTAATAACTGAATACAGGTACTCTAGAAAACACGGTTACGAACTAAAAATTCGTGAATCATATGTTTTGTTAGGCAAATGAAGTCTATCTTAAGGTTACCCCTCCTCTCCTTTTGGGCTTTCCATAGAAATCCTGTGAAATAAAAACTAATAGTCGCTTAAAGTTTCATATTTTTAGAAGTGGTTGGAAGCTCAGTTGAACGCTTTTTCGTTTTTGTTTCAAGTTTTTAACTATTGCCAAAGAAAAGCTTTGAATGTACAGAAAAGGAGAGAAAAGTTTATAAAACTAAAAAATTGAATTTGTTTAGGCTTTGAAGGAAAATTTTCAAAACTGCATAACTTTTTGGAGTGAGATCATGGAGTGCTAGGAGGAATCTTATTTTATCGCCCACACTTTCCTCTACATTAGTCTATATTCAGCTCAAAATCGAAAACTTTCTCAAAAAAGAGGAGAGGGGTACTCTTAAGAGTATTTACCTCTTTTTCTTTTAAAACTGTAGCAAAAAAAAACGAAAAACCGTTCGAAAACTAGGTTGTTCAATCTCAAAACGGTGACAACTCCCGGAGTGAAGGTGTCAAACAAAATTTGGAAAAAACACATCCAAGATGTATACGGCTTGTCCACGTAACTCGAGACTTCGCTGATCAAGTTTTTGAAAAAATTATTTTAGAGTAGAACTGATAGGAGCATATCACTAGATGCAGTTTTCGACGCTGATTACGAATCTCACATTAG